GGGGGCAGTGGTAGCTGAATTCAAGAAAACACGGGCATAGCTTAGGAGTTTTAAAATTATTACGGTATCTAAAGAAAATAATATGTAATTCAAAACGATTGCCGGATTTTTCTTTTAATGTATCTGAGATCAGTATGAATAAAAACTCTGCCACATAATTTTGGGGCACAAATGTATCTATTTTCAAGCGTTGCTAGTTAGTTAGTTAGTTAGTTAGTTAGTTAGTTAGTCAGTTAGTTAGTTAGTTAGTTAGTTAGTTAGTTAGTTAGTTAGTTAGTTAGTTAGTCAGTCAGTTCGTTTGACGATTTCTTCTTGGTTTTCCTGTACTGTGCTGCCGTCATTTTTTAAAATACTAAAATGTGCAGTTTTTACAAGTTTACCAGAGAGTGAAAAACAAAACAAACAACAAACAAAACAACTGAATGTTGTTTCCAATAAAACACTTGCTTCAAAGATACGAATAAAGAAGTTATTATCAAAATTGTAGACCTATTCTTAAAAATATTGTATTGGAATTTTTGCAAAACAGTTTCTTTTCTTGGTGACAATGTTCACATTTTTGGCTCTCCTATCTCATTGGAAAAACTGCACCTAGGCACAGGCTACTGCATTTTCAAGAAATGAATGCCCGAAGTGTTTTTGTTTTTTTAGTAGAGTTTTCACAGCGCTCACAACTAGATCTAGAATCTACATACGGTCATAATATGAGCGCCAAAGGATGGATGCCAATTGAGAACTCCTTTCAGGGAATCAGACTTACTCTGCTCACCTCTCTAGCTTCAACAGCACAAACACACACAAAGTCTGCTTCGACTATCAAGGCACCTCGGAAATAGCAAGTCACAAGAGTGTGACAAACATAAAGAAGTAGAGGAAGCAATGACGATAGTAAGGATTAGGAAAGAGAAAGCAGCAGTTCCCTGTTGAAGTTCAGGCACAGTTATGAGCCTGACATTGGTGAATCAGCCTATTTAAAATTACTGTTCTACTGTGTATAAGAAAATGGCTTATGTCCCCCCCCCCCTTTGGGAATAGCCAAAAGACACTTCAGTCAGTAGCACCACCCCGGGGTATGCCGCAATGTGTGTGTGCCGTGTGCTCTCTTTCGGTTCGGTTGAAATTTCAATGGGACGCAACTCTCCTTTTTCTTACTTCGGCATCGCCAGAAACATTAATTATCTTCCTTGGGGGACAAACTCGATTATTTCCCCGAGTTTCACGCCCATGCCCATGCAAAGGTTGAGAATTTCACACCCACTGCATCAATGTATTGTTTTCCTGATTTATACTAGACATTCTTTCTTTCTTTATCAAAGAAAGTCCCACGTCTATAGTGGCCATAACTCAATTCTCATATTTAGTTTTAAAGATTTATGTTGAAAAAGCC